TGGCGCCCAATCAGCACCCATCCAGGAGGTACAGCATCAGCACCCTGAATGAAGGAGAACCCTCTCCAGTCAAAGAAGATGAAACAGTAGCTGCAACGAAGTCAAGATGGCAGCATCTAACCCCAACACCACAGCTATGGTGTCCCCACATCAGTGCTCGAAGCCCAAGCTTCAGCGCAGTCCTTATGCACAACAGCAGCCCCCAGCTATTGGGGCTGCACTGTAAGCATGGCAACCTCTACGAAGAACCTCCAAACAGCACATGTCCACTGCTGACCAAATGAACCCGTCCTACTTTGGGCACAACCTATTTGTAGATTCACCAATTTCTAGACTCTCTACTACCGGACCTGCACTCCCTATAACGGTACAGGTTCAAGGCTGTAACTGGAATAACCTCAGGCCTGGGAATTTAGTAATTTGCAGAAATGTCCCCATAGGAACTTGGCCTGTTACAGTTACCGGTTAAGACCCAAAACTGAGAAAATTTACAAAAATGACCCTGTTACTTGTACAGCCCACTGAGAATCTGCAAGTTAGTTTCATGACAGTGTCTGTAGAAGTGCAAAGGAGACGGTCACACGGTGTTGGTACATTTGCTGCTGCAGCATAGGGCCAGAGGAATGGTCCTCGACATAAAAGAGATTGCAGACAACTTGGCGTGGCAAGAAAACAACATCATTATGTATGAAATCAGTAACATCAGTCATGGCATGGACCATGATGCCGTTGTCCCACAGCTCTCACTGGTCAGAGGCACCTAAAATGGCCATGTAATGGGCAGGTCCGTGCTCAATGCGGGCACAGATGTGGGATGGAAGATTAAACCACTCACCTGCTCGAGCATTGCGTAGGCACAGATGCGGTGAGTGGTTTAATCTTCCATCCAGCACAGAGAGAATGGGGCAGACAAAGAAACAAGCTGCTGATCCTCGGACAAGCGACGTTGCAGCGCACGCCCTCTATGATACACAATAAAAGTAGTGGTGTTGCAAACTGAATATGAACATGTCTCTGGTAACAAAGATGGAGCAACGGGAATAATGGGAACCGGAGAGTCTGTTCACAAGCGAGACCGTGAACAAGATGGGGGTGGCGCGGAGGACCCCAGTCGTCTGTGGCCAAGCACAAAAAGAGATGAGAGGAGGGTGGATTGGCGGCCAAGCACAAAAAGAGATGAGAGGAGGGTGGATTGGCGGTCAAGCACAAAAAGAGATGAGAGGGGGGTGGATTGGGACAAGATTTTGAAACAAGGACCGTGAGTGTCCAAGAGACTGTGATGTTCTTTGCTCTGGAGCTGCGGCAGAGGAAGTTGTGGCAGTAAAAACTACATTCGGGGGAATCCAAGCTATGGAGACTTCTGTACGGAAAAATGTAGCAGTGGAAACTGCAGCAGTGGAACTGGGGCAGTAGAAACTGCAGCAGTGGACACTGCAGCAGAGTCCTGTGGCCGGCAGGGGAAGCTGTGGCAGTAAAAACTACATTTGGGGGAATCCAAGCTATGGAGACTGCTGTACTGAAAACTGTAGCAGCGGAAACTGTACCAGTGGAAACTGCAGCAGTGGAACTGGGGCAGTAGAATCTGCAGCAGTGGACACTGCAGTAGTGGAAACTGCAGCAGTGAACTGTGGCCGGAACCGAGAGAACGACCTCAGGCTCCGCTTCTAACATGAGCCCAGTGCATTGCAGCCTCTATCACCAGCACAAGCAGTGCAGCTTGTGCAGAGCTAGATAGAGAACACCCCTCAATGAGCTCGTAGGGCCTGTTATAAGTTGCTTCACCTTCTTTGAAAATCCAATCAGCCAAAAAAAGAAACAGAAAGGAAACCCAATCAACTGCGCCGCATACTACCACAACTCGTCCAGAAAAGAGAACCCAAACACCCGCTACTCTTTCCAACAAACACAAAACGAGATTATACACCAGGTTCTGCAAACAAGTTGGTTATGGTGTGGGATAGATGTGCTATACGCACTTTAGATCCCCCCCTACGAAGCCTCTTTCACTTTGGGAAGGACAGAAGGGGCACACGGATCCCATCACGCTTCTTCCCTTTTCCTTCCTTTGGGACGAATTTTAAGCGTCCTCTTTTCTCTCTTTAGATTGCCTGACGCAAGGACCTAAACCTTCAGCAGACAATTCAATTTCAATTCGATGTATACTTTTTAAGCGTCCTCCTCTTTTTTCTCTCCACTACTCGACCCATGCACAAAAGACAAAAAATTACCTACCCCGTGGGCTGGGAAGAGTTCCAGGTTTGTTTGATGTTCCCCCGTACTATACATAGAGTAGCGAGAGGATGAGATAGATGCGGAATAATATACATAGATAGATTGACAGAAGAATATATCGTCACAAACAGAACTGCCCGGTAAACCGTAGGCAGAGAGAGAGAAGAGGACAACAAACGAGGGGCTGTGACAAACTGTTTCGTCGGAGTTATAGATGTTTAAAAAAAAAAAGGGCCTTGCTACTCACCCCATGCACAAAAGCCAAAAAATATGGCAGTGTATCTCCCGTGTTCTAGCGGAAGGTTCATTCTCATTTTGAACATTTGGCGAGCAGTGCAGCGAGGCCCAATGATGAATATATCTTGCCAGAACATGCATTCAACATTTTTGCATTTGGCGAGAACTGGAACAAGGCACTACAGCAAAATACGCGCACGGCTGTCCATGGATCCACTGCGGAACTGAGCAGTACTCCGATGCCATCGCGTCTTCCCCCAGTAGAACGTAGAGTCATTATTGCTGTATCTAGACTGAAAGTTAAGCATCTTTCCCCAATAGAACGTAGGGTCATTATAGCTGTACCTAGACTGACAGTTGCACAAAATACAGCTCTAACGACCGCACATTCACAATTCGGGGGAAGACAGCAGGCAGTTGTTGTTTTTTTCGACGTTATCTTCCTTTCGTTCACGATCAGAATGCCACAGACTAGCATCTGCAAAGACACTGCCTAAGGGTCCGAGTTAATTAATAGCCGATCGAGTTAATCAAGGGCTCTACTAGCATGCGAGTCGAGCTCCTCATCAACCAGTCAATTAATGGCCGATCAGGAACATAAATAGCCATACGGATGAACTGGCAGCGAGGACGACTTCCATCCTTCCTGTTTGGCTAGAAGGACATCGTTCTGGATGGACAAAGGCTCCTCGTCAGCGCAAACCCGGAAAACATGACAACTCGAACAAGTTGCAATACTTCCAGGAAAAGAAAGAGAAAAGAGAATGAGAGACAGACAGACGATATTATGGACAGCTGGCTCTCTAATTCACGTGAGGGCATCTTCATGCCAGTGCTAGCCAGTGCCAGCTGGTTGGGCTAGCAGAGTCCACCTAGAGCGAAAAAAACAGCCATTGCTCGTCTACGAGAGTGGTCACAGTTGGGCCCTTGGTGAGTCCACTACTTGCGCCCCTCGCAAAGTGCTGGTTGTCAGTGCTTGGCCATTGAGTTTGTGAACGCGCTACAGACGTAAGTAGCCGGCCGGCCGCTTGCAAGCCTGGTGATCAACCACCATCACAAGGGACGTCCACCGGAGCACCGTCATTACCGAACAACGCAACTTTCTCCAACTCGGAGGGCAACCGCAGAACCAGCGGTCCTGCAGACGTATCCACCACGCTTCGGAAGCGAATGCCGCCAGGCTGATCCTGCGCCTGGCTACCAAGCTCAGTCTATCGTTGACATCAGGCTTGTTGTCAAGCTTGGCTAGCTAGGTTGCGTTTGAACGAGTCTGACTGACTAGGTTCGGTCAAGCAGAGCGAAGTCAGATCCTACCTAGCTCCCGCAGTGCTTGCCGTCAGAGGCTTCTGCTACGCCTGGCATTACTCCTCTTCTCCCGAACACAAGGCACCCTCATCCTGAACATATCCAAGCTTTCTTTCCGGGCAAATACAGTCATGATGAGGGTGCGTTGTGTTTGGGGGAGCTCTATAGGTAGGTTAGGCTACACAGAGCCCAATCCATCGTTGCAGCTTGCTGTTGCGCCCGGTTAGCGCCAGGTTAGGCGTGACCGACACCGAGCTGGGTAGTTAGGTTCGGTCAAGCACAGCGGCGTCGGATCGTTCATAGTTCCGGCTGTCGTTCCATTCAGGTTGCTGTTGCACCTGGCTACACAGAGTCCAGTTCAGCAGAGCAGAGCGAGGTCGGACAATGAAGCGCGAGCCCAAGACGAGCAGGTTACCGCCCCCATTTACAGCGTTCGCGAGTCATTGCGCACACACGTTACCGCTCTCGCAAGTTACTGCGCGCTGGATCGGGCAAGATAATGCGCTAGCAAGTCTTACCGCGCTAATGAATCTCGCCGCGCTAGCAAGTGTGGGCGCGCGCTCGCGCAAGTTACCGGAGTCACCGGGGTGCGGAAGGAGGAGCGACCCCTGATGAGCACTATATTGCGCGTCCTGAAGAACTATCAAAAAGCCAGATCTCCAACCATCCGCGGTGAATGAAAAATCCTGCTACCACGGAACGAAATCATCAGCAAAACGCGCATGTCAACTCACTCCGCAAACGATCCGCAGTCGGCATCAGACCACGCTCCCCCGAGAGGCGAGGTCCAGACAGGGCAAACTGATGCAATACTGAGCGGAGGAGCGGCAGAGTTCGCGCGGCCAACAAAAAGTCATACACCTCAATTAGAATCTTGTTGAAACCTTTGCACGGGAAACAGACAAGCCACTCACAGGAGTGCATCTGTGTCCTCAAGAGAACAGCCGACGGCAGTAGCTATTAGAAGGAGGGAGAGGCGGAAAGAGAGGGCTGCAGAACTATGACGCCTCACACACAACACGGAGAACTGTACAAGGGCGCGCTTCGGATCGCGCGCGCGAGCTCTAGACGGAGAGAGAACCGTACGTACGGCCCCATCGCCGAAGGTACGGCGACTTGATGGGCAAACGCCGCAAGAAGACTTGATCAGCAAGCGCCGCAAAAAGACTGGATGGCCTTGGATCCACACACGCAAGCAGAGAGGAAGAGTTTCATGTTCAACGTACCGACAACGAGGCAATATGTTTGTATCCACGCTTATCCGGAGCCCCAAACTCCACTCCGTTCTCTATCATCCTCTGATACGGCGTCGCCATGTCGTTGGGTCTCGTAGTCGAATACACGATCCTCCTGACGTGGCTGACCTGTTTGGCCAAGGCCTTTCCCCGCACAACCATCGCCCCCTTCTCCTTGGCCTCCTCACCCTCCGCGACGGTTCTCGCCGACCCACCAACCACTTCCCCTCCTCTCTCTTCTGCCTTGTTCCTCTTCTGCTGCTGCTCCACCGCCGTCGGGCCGCTGGCCAGTCCCCCCACCCCACCCGACGCCGCCATCGCCGCGGGCCGCAGACAGAAGGTCAAATGAACGCCGTCCACATCCACGCTCTGCACATCGTTAGCGTGGACGCGCCGGAGGAATTCGCTGAAGGGCACCGATTGATAGGTGGTCACGACATGCACTTCGCCCCTCCTCTCGCCGGATCCCGGCAGGCCCAGTCCCGGCCGCAAGACTCTCATCAATACCAACAACACGCTGATCTGAAGAACTAATCCTCCCAGCTCCCTCGGATTTATCCACCAATTGGAAAACCACGATTTCCATTGTCGCGTCCCACGACCACCTGCAGCAGGAGGGGATGGAGCCGGTACCTCCTCTTCCTGCGTCTGATCTGAAGATGACGTCCCTGGCGCCACGTGTCTGCTCTCATCAGCAGACGTCTTTTCACCCTTCTCCTTCAGTTCGCTAGGTGAAACCTCCGATGAAGCAGAAGCCCGCCAACCTAGGAAGGAGGGACTCTCACCTAACTCCTCTTTGGAAGGCGAGCAGCTACCTGCCGCTCCTGCTCCTGTCCCCATTGTCCCCTCGTCGCCACTCCGTCCCCCCCCGTCCAAATCTAGGCCGCCGTTGATCAAACCCGATCCTCTCTCACCTGTTGTGGTCGAATCAGCATCCCCCCCAACCCCGGAATCGCCGATCTGCCCACCAGCGGAAAAAGAATCTCTCGATCTCTTATCATCCTCGTTTGCGTCCTTGGACTGACAAAACGCCCCAGTCATCCGAGGCGCCAACCGACCCGATCTTCGAAGACCCCGTCCAAAAGAAGCCGCGCGAACTCTTCTTTCACCAGGAGAAGCGCTCTCATCATCGAGAGTCCATAAGGAGCATTTTCGCCCCTGCTCATGCTGCCAAACGGTGAATCCCCATCTACTATTCTGCCCCCCTTCCCCCCTCCAACTGCCGCCATCGCGAAATAAAAACCCCCGGCACCCACTCGTGCAAATCGCATCTCCTTCACGAGCAAAGGTGAAGCCACTTTCCCTCTTGCATCTGGCAACATCACGGTGAGGGGACCCCTGCTCCATGCCATGCGGCGACACACGGTGAGGCGACGACAACCGTGCCGCGGCAGCAATGTAAAATGACTTCCTGCCCTTCGCGGAGGTCGTCCTCTCCCACCGATGACCGACACCATCGAACCCTGGCAAGGTTCGCGACTGCCGAGCCACAGCCATAACACTTCTTGATGCCCACTTCTCCGCCATGCGCGATGTCGATGGTGCAAACGATGGCGATGACGATTGCCACGACGAGGATAACGAAGACGAGGACAACGACTCTCCACCAATTTGACGGCCACCAGCTTCACTGGCATCCCTCCTTGCGCCGCGCATGTTCAACCTATCGAATCGAATCGTTGCCGAAATCTGTGCCCCTCTAGCTCGGTAGAGATGGTCGCTGTGGACGATCCGTCGATCTCTTCTGGGCAATACTCTTCTTCTCCCAAAATAGACCCCTGCACCGCACCCCGCGCATGCCACCATGAGTCCCCGCGAAGTTTCCGCCATCTCCACAGCCGTGCCAATCCGATCTGGACTCCCCGGGGTACAGCAAATTGCGGCGACTCGAGAGGGGGAGCAACTCGCTGGCCAGGCGTTCCTCACCATCCAGAAGAAAAAACGGATGGAGGCTGATTGGTTGATCAGTTATCGGGCTTACGAATGGGCAATCCAGCTAATTAATGACAATTGGAATCGATCAAACGACTAGGTTGTGTTCCTTCCTCACACACCTTGTACACAAACCCTCCCTTCCGCTCGGCCAAGTAGACGATTTGTCAATCAGGTAACGGATTGCTCGATCGACTGATTGGTCGATCGATTGCCTGATCGAGTAGCGAGCTGATGATCCACTCGCCTGGCAAATGATTGATTGATTCGCCAATCAGAGTCGTGCACAGATGACGAGCGAATACGCTCCTGAGCTCCACCATTGGGCGCAGCAACCCACAAAGAAATCAGCCTCCTTCTCCTCCAATCTCTCCTCTCGCCTCCGGCGGCGAATGACATTCACTCTCCTCCCTATAGATTATTCATTATTTCGTTTGAATTTCATTCCCGAAGCACCTGCCGCATGAGAAAGATTCTTGCTGACTGGATGTCACTTGTCTACCGCATACCGACGTGCGTCCTTGCGCTGAAACCACCGCATCATAGCCATGAAGGCAACTCGTCGACAGGCCACCTTGTCCGCAGATCGAACGGTCGAGCGGGCGCCAGCTACCGTAGCCACCTAGACGAGGTTGCATGCGCGGGGCTGCTCGGCCGAACGACTAGCCGCTGAACGAAAACAGCGCCCCCCTGTCGCCGGCGCCGAATCAGCCCCACCAAGTCACCACCCGCATAACTTTTCCACGTCGGCCCACCAAACTCGCGCAGAACGTCCGTTCGTCCGCTCGTCGCGATCTTCGCACCTGAGGCTGTACATTTCTTGAATTCTTGAATTCCCAGGGGCGATCCAGTTCGCAGCCCGTCAGGGTTGCCTTTACCCCCCGGAGACATTTCAACAACGTCAATGAAATTTCAACGTCAGTGGTCGTTCGGGAGGGTGGGCATTTTGAGGTTTCGGGGCTTAGCATTAGGAAGGGGCGGGGCATGGTAAGGACCATTTCGCAGGCCGTCAGGGTTGCGTTTTCCCCCCCTAAGACATTTCAACGTCATTTACTTACCATAGTTTGTATATGCTTGATTGATAAAGGCGGCTTTATTGGTGAGGTTTTGAAGTATGCACTGGCAAATGCAATGCAGATGCGTCGTTTGAACCTTCGGCCAAGGCCGCGCCCTTTCTGATTTCAGACTTTTGCACTTTTGCACCCTGCCGCTGCCTTGCCACCGTTTCGACCAAAACCCAGCGCGTGATCCCACGGGCAGCTACCAGTCCCACATTTTTCAAAAAAACTGCCACCGACCCCCAAAGTGCCGTGCCTGCACCTGCCAGCAGTTTTCTAACCTTCCAACGACCAAACGAGCCTGAATCAACGACCGGTATAACGAAGGACGACGAAAATGTCTCAAGGGGGGAAACACACCCCTGACGAGCTGCAAACTTTTCCACTTTTCCACCCTACCACTACTTTGCCATCGTTTCGACCAAAGCTACCAGTCCCGCATTGTTCAAAGAAACCACCACCACCCCCGAAAGATCCACCTTGTCGCACTTTGTCACAGTTTAGACCAAAACCCAACAAAGAAACTGGCACCCCCCCCCAAAGTGTCGTACCTGCACTTGCCTGCATTTTTTAAACCTTCCAACAACCAAACGAGCCCGAATCAACGACCGATATAACGAAGGACGGCGAAAATGTCTCAAGGGAGAGAACTTGATAAAGCAGACATTATTTGTGAGATTTACGAGCAGGGTGATTGTTGCATGTAAAAAAAATAGTATTTGTGTGTATGTGGTAGGTTTAGTGTGTGTGTGTTCGTGCTTATCACATCTGTTAGTATTGGAATGTGTGGGATTTAGGTAATTTGTATGGTATTAATGTATTAGATATTTGACATACATTGATTCATAGTTGGTGACGAGGCTGGTGGTCCTTAAATCTTGGTCTATATGGTATATGTGTGTGTTTGAGTGTTTGTTGTTGTAAGTTTTTTTTTTTATATAATAGAAGTTGTTTTGTCAATTAATGAATTAATTATGTTTGACAAAGTAGTTGTGGTGGAGAGGTGGTTGTAGTATGTGGTTGTGATGTAATTTCATTGAGGGTATAAAGACAAAGTTCGTTATGAGTGAATGCCTTATATAGAGACATATCTATTTGGGATAAATCATTAATATGTGAAAGTGGGTTAGGTAGCAGAAAATGTTGAAGCATGGACGACGAAAATGTCTCAAGGGGGGAAACACACCCCTGACGAACTGTAAACTTTTTCCACTTTTCCACCCTGCCACTACTTTGCCATCGTTTCGACCAAAGCTACCAATCCCGCATTGTTCAAAGAAACCACCACCACCCCCGAAAGATCCACCTTGTCGCACTTTGTCACCGTTTAGACCAAAACCCAACGAACGGTCCCACGGGCAGCTACCGGTCCTCTATTTTTCAAAGAAATTGGCACCACCCCCCAAAGTGTCGTGCCTGCACCTACCTGTATTTTTTAAACCTTCCAACGATCAAACGAGCCCGAATCAACGACCGGTATAACGAAGGACGACGAAAATGTCTCAAGGAAGAGAACTTCATAAAACAAGCGTTATTGGTGAGATTTACGAGCAGGGTGATTGTTGCATGTAAAAAAAATAGTATTTGTGTGTATGTGGTAGGTTTAGTGTGTGTGTGTTTGTGTGATACTTAGTGTGTTTGTGTTTATCACATCTGTTAGTATTGGGATGTGTGGGATTTAGGTAATTTGTATGATATTAATGTATTAGATATTTGATATACATTGATTCATAGTTGGTGACGAGGATGGTGGTCCTTAAATCTTGGTTTATATGTCGTATATGTGTGTGTTTGAGTGTTTGTTGTTGTAAGTTTTTTTTTTATATAATAAAAGTTGTTTTGTCAATTAATGAATTAATTATGTTTGACAAAGTAGTTATGGTGGAGAGGTGGTTGTAGTATGTGGTTGTGATATAATTTCATTGAGGGTATAAAGACAAAGTTCGTTATGAGTGAATGCCCTATACAGCGACATATCTATTTGGGATAAATCATTAATATGTGAAAGTAGGTTAGGTACCATAAAATATTGAAGCATGACGATGAAAAAAAAAACACAATCTTGTGAATTAGTTTGTTGAGGTTTTTGTAAGATTTAGTAGGTGCATTTTGTAGTAAATGTAAGTAATCTATCGAGTGAATAGTCATTGTTTCAGATTTGAAAAAAATATTGTATTAGTAATGGAAAGACTGTCATAACAATATATAGATTTTGTTTCAAGGTTTAAACATCCAAGTGTCCAACAACTGTTGTTTATGTTTATTGGAATAAAAAATTAGTGAGTGTTATGAATGGTGGAAGTCTATTTCTTATTTTAATTTATCGATCAACACAGGGATAATAATATTTTGTTATACCTTGGTTGTATATGAATGTATTTGCAATGAAAATAATTGTGGTTTTATCCATTATAAGTTCAGCATAATTTTTTATAGGTATATTTGTAAGTCAAAATGAATCAGGTAAAGTAATGTATAAGTATAATTCAGAATCGAGTGAAATTGAAATAATATTTTTATCATCTGTATTTTCATTTATTTGTTCAATAATAGATAAAGATGGGGTGTGAAGGATTGATTGTGTAGTTATGGGATGTGATGTTGATGACTTGATAGGTGTTGTGAAAATATTTTTTTAAGAGAAATTTATGTTTAAACATTTGTTTGTGTTGTTGATAAATCTTACTGTGTGTGGATCATCTAGCAAACAAATAAATTTTTGCATGATAACTGTGTTTTGAATTATTTGATTAATCATTTGTTTTTTTTATTTTTGGTAGGTTGGTGTTGTTAGTTGTTGTTGTTATATTGTGTTTGATTGAATATTTTTTTTAATGGTGTTTGATGTTAATGTTAAAGGTATATAATGAAACATATTTTGTATGAATTATGATTGAAGTAATTTTTGTGCAATGTTTGTGAGTCTGTCATCTTCACGTAAATACATTTTCATTAGTTTTGACGAATTTTGTAAGTGGTTTCGTTAATGGTTTGAGGGTTGTGAAAGCATAGCAATTTATTACATGAGATACTGCAATGTATCCTTGTTGGATAACTTTTTTTTTTTTTTTCTGATGTTGATAAAACTTTCCAATCTGCAAGAATCCTTGAGGTTAGTATTTTTTCTTTAACTTTAAATAGAGGTTAGTGTTTCTCCTTTAACTTTAAATAATGTTGAAGCGATTGAAGAAATAAATGAGAATTATTTTGGATATAATGTGCAAGTTCGTTGTGGTGAAAATGAAATGCGTGGTAATGATACTTTGACTGATCATTTTGAACGTTCAAAGAAAACTGGATAAAGGTCTATAGGTGGTTTAACTTTTGATGCATATGAGAATAATTAAAATGCAGCGAACCAATGCAATTTGAGGAGGTTGATTTGAAAAAAACAAATGAATAGATGTTGCGTTATCATAAATAAGTCGAAATTTTATTTTTGGATTAAATTGTAAGGAATGCAAAAATTCAAATGTGTCGTTGACAATACCTCTGTTAGGGTCAATGTTTTGGGTAAATACTATTGGCATGCGTGGGACGAGGTTTAAAAATTTTGCATTGCATCCTAAACATGTTGTTTGGCAGAAACATTATGTAACGAATATCGTCTTTATTTTTATTTTTGAACGTTTTCTCAAAACCTGCAACGTCACGTTGTCGGGGCAAATACCCTGACAAGGTTAAATGTTGGACACTGTCCGACTTTTTCGTTGAATTTAAGGACTTGATAAGAGTGGCGTTTGCCAAAATTTCATTCAGACTGAACCTGTGACTGGGGAATTAAAATTTGTTGAACTTTAGTATAGACGCTTGTAGCGTCCAAGAGTAACAACAGTAATTGGCAATGCTTCGCTTTTATTGAAGTTGTAGAAGCGCGTGAACACGGAAAATTAAAGCTAGACCTATCCTATCTAGGTAGGCTAGAAAGAGGGAGGTGCAAACATTGAGGATATTGATCCCGAGCCTATTGAAAGCCTAAGAGACTAATAGGGGCCGCTATACGGGGGTTAAAACCACGACGGTGGCCGAGAGAACCAACAACCTGCTTTGCTAAGAGTTAGAGACCGTCGTGATTGACACAGATGGCCAACCAAGGGCAGATCGGGGCTTGTAAAGGTCATGGGTAGGTGGCCACTGGGTGGGAGCTCTTCATATAAAAAAGTTATCCCTACTCCTACCGTAGCAGGAGTTAGCCCAGTGTGTAAACACATCAAACCGCCACGCCGCAGATGCGGGGAACGAATCCGATTGCGCCATATCTGGGCTAGCTCCTTTTGGATCTGACCATAAGGATGGGGGCAGTCTGGAGCGGTTAATCTCAACCCTGCGATTCACAAGAGAGCGCGCCTGAGATCAGCCGCGTGGAGGTGACATGGCGCCTGCGCAAGAATGACACGCATAAATCGAGAAATCGTCTATTTTTTTTTTTTGCGATCCTGGTTGGGATTGAGCTTGAGTCTGTATCTCAACAAGTCGTGGGATTCCCATGACGTGAAGAGACCACTGGCAAAACCAACGCGGTAAAA